CCACACAGCCACCAAGAAGCGATGAACGACGAGCTCGCGCCCGTCGAGGCGTAGCTAGATCCGGGCGCGTGCGGGTTCCCGAACGCGGGCGCCGAGGTGGTGGTCGAGCCGGGGATGTTGACCGCCGCCGACGAGGACGACGAGGGCCCAGACGGCGCGTACTCGGCGGCGCCGTGCTGGACGAGCGCGCGCGGCGTCGTCGAGCCGCCGTCGTCGAGGCCGAGACCGTGCCCGTGCGCGAGGTACTCGCCCTCGCTCCCCTCGTCCTCGTCGCGCTCGCGCTCGTCATCGTCCTCCTGCTGCGCCCTCGCCGCCGTCCCTCTCGCCGCCGTCCCCGCCGCCGCGCCCGCCGCGCCCGCCCTCGCCCCCTCAAAGCTGCCCCCCCTCGGCGTCGCCGCCGGGCTCGCGCCGCCCCTCGGTGTCGGCGTCGGCGTCGGCGTCTCTACGCTGTTGACCGTCGCGCGGCTCGCCTCGTCGCTCCTCGCCGCGTCAAGCGCGCGACACCACGCGTGGGCTTCCGGGCTCGAGTCGGCGTGCACGTAGTAGGTGCGGCGCGGCGTCACGATGCCGAACGCGTGGGCGTGCTTCTTGAGCGAGATGGGCGCGACGGCGTGGATGTCTGACAGCGGGATGAGGCGCAGGAGGCGGTACTCCTGCGAGGCGTGGGGGCGGCGCCGAGTCAGTCCCTGGCTCGTCGAGCGCCGGCGACACGAGAGAGAGAGAGAGAGAGAGAGAGAGAGAGAGAGAGGCGCAGGGACGCACCTTGTCGCTCTTGTACATGGCGAGCTGCCCTCCCCTGAGGACAAACCACCGCTTCTTCCACGCCTTGCGCCGCTCACCCTTCTTCATGAGGTACCCGCTCTTGAGCGCCACGTTGTCGCTCAGACCCCCTCGCCCTCCTCCTCCTGCCCCTCTCGCGCCGCTCGCGCCGTCGGCGCCCGAGCCCGTGCGCACCGGCGCGAGGTCGAACGCCCTCGCGCGCCCCTGCGCCTGCCCCTGCCCGTGCCCGTGCCCCTGCCCCGCCGGGACAGCAAATGCGCCCTCGCGCCGCCGCTCGAGTCCGCCGAGCGAGCTCGCGTCCGACTCGTCGCTCGCGCAGCCACCGTCGCCGTCGCCCTCGCCGAGGGCGTCGTCCGTCTCCGAGATGCTCTGGAGCGCGAGGTGGTGCTGCGCGTGCGGGTGCTGCTGTGGGTGGGACGACGAGGAGGCGGTGGCGGTGGTAGCGGTGGAGGTGGACGTGGTGGACGTGGTGGACGTGGTAGGGGCGAGGAACGAGGGAGGAGAGGTGCGCAGCGGGGCGCCGCCGGACGAGGCGAACGCGGCGTGCGAGGCGGACGACGACGAGGTGGTGGGGTCGTGCGCGTCCGACTCGTCGTCGGCGGTCGACGAGATCATCGAGGTCTGCGGGGGGGGTGCATCGAGGCTGTGTCAGTACCTCATCCGAGAGAGAGAGAGAGGGAGAGAGAGGTTCGGGGCCGCACCCTGCGGCTCGCGAGGCTCCCCCTGCGCTCGAGGAGGGCAAAGCCGCCCGGGGTCTCGAGCGAGGTCGACAGGGCGGCGAGGGACGGGCTCGCGGCGCCCATGGTGGTGGGCGGGAGCGAGGGCGAGCCCAGCTTGCGCTCGATCTCTTGCGGGGTCGGAGGGGCGGCGGCGGCACTGGCGCTGGCGCGAGGTGGTGGTGGTGGGCCTGCGGGTGGGTCGGTGGGTGCGAGTCGGTCAGTGGTCGTGGCCTGGGTGGGTGGTGCTTCCTGACTGACGAGGCGGGAGGGCCCCGGGGTTTGGTTCCCCCGCAGTCCGAGGACGGGGGGCAAACGAGGGCGCGAGCGGAACGAGGGGGGTCGAGGGCGTGGGTGGTCTGGGTAGACAGGAGGGAGGGAGGGAGAGAGGGAAGGAGCGGGACTGACCGAGAGGCGAGGCCATGGCGAGGCGCACGAGGAGAGGAGAGGGGGGGCCGGGGGTGGACCGAGGTGGGCGGTGTGCGAGGTGAGGGGGGTCGACGAGGTGGTCGGTGGCAGTGGAGCAGTAGGCTGTGGTGGTGGTGCCCAAGTGGCAGTGCTGCCCTGACTGCGAGTGGCGACGAGAGAGAGAGAGCGACGCCGAGTTGGACGACGACGACGACGACGACGAGCCCCTCTCCTCCTCCTCCTCCCTTCCCTCTCCCCTCCTTCCCTCTCCCAACCACCAGCCATGACCACCTACTCTGCCGCCCAGTTTGACAAGGCCGTCGAGG